TGGAGTCAAAGAATAAAGAGACGGGTTTTTGTTCTGACACTGAGAACGGTTGTGTGAATCATTTAGTGTCTTTCAGCGACACAATCCTTTTAGAACCTGCTACATAGTAGTTTAATAAAAACTCTCATTAGGGAATGACTTTTAATGCTTTCCAACAAAGTAAGTTCAAGATTCAGGCAGTGTCTGCACGTGTGTTTATCAGACCTATGTAATTTTTGGACCTGTCTGATCTTGGTGCTGCTCTCATGGGCCTCCAGAATAGATTGTACTAGGCACAATACTGTTTCAATTTTACTGTAACTTTCCTCACAGCAAGACTGCATCCCTGTTGTTAGTTGTCATTATATTTATGTTGCTGTCTAGATTTATAACCTCATTTTGAAAAATCACCTTGGCCATTGAAACAAATAGAAAAGCTCATAATTTACTGTTTCTAGAAAAGTCCTATAATTTGTAGTAGAAATTCTGTAAACAATAAAGCAACTTGGAGATTTCCCCTGCAACATATCACTCTGTATTGATAAATATTCTTGTGGATTTATATCTGCTCCTTATCTTTTATAACTGTATTTTTTAAGACATATTAATGTGACACCTTCTCTGACATATTTAGACAGTTCCAATTTCCATTAATTTCATAATAGTTCTCCACAAAGTAGAAATACCTTTCTAGATTTCACACAACCCCATCACTGTCAGTTTTACTGCAACCCATTTTTTTAGTTGGGTAATTAGTATCTTGAACATAATTTATTCCTCAGTGATTTTCCATTCAGAAGTGTAAGGGTATATGATCAGAGAATCCCAACTCCAAAAACGCAAGCTGACATTCTCTATTGATATAAATTGATTAAGGTCTTTTGAATAAAATGTGCCCACTACAAGAAATATGTCAGTGCAGGAAATAATTCAGTAAAAGGGAAAGTCTGGCTTTACCCAAATTAAATACACTTCTCTGATGGGATAGATGTATATTATCAGAGAGGGTAATTGAAATGATAGGACACCAGAAGACTTATTCATAAGGTATCTGTTCTCTGTTCAGCTCTCTGAACAGATCTCTGTTTCATTACAGGCAATCATTAGGAAAATTTATGCTGTATGATTCATCATATAACATACACCATCATATCGCACATTATCATATATAGAAGCAGCATTAGCAGCGTGTTTCATCATTTGCAAATGCTGAAATTACTGACATCCTGCATGTGTTTTTAGACCAGACTTTTGCTTTATGAACCAGTAGGCAAATACATTTAGCTATATCACACTACATGAGCCTAAGAGCGTATTAATGGGACAAATTTGATAAGAGGTTGTGTATTAATTTGGCTGTCTCCATACCTTTAGATACTTTGAGGCTTTCAACATGTCACTACTGTCTCAGAAATGCCCCCCTGGCAGCATTTGAGAGGCTCTCTTTCTCTTCTACTTAATTTCTGATATTTTGAAAATGTAAGTGAAAACTTAAGTGAACATGGCTCAGCTTTGAACTAAATTGAAGTTTGTGAAAAATACTAAACCTATATATTTCTAAATCCTATTTTTGTGACTGAGAAAGGAGAAGCTTTGAGATTCACTGATACTGAATGGGAATGCACATGGGAATGAGCTAGATCACTCTCCAACACATCCTCATCCTCCTCATTTAGAGGTAGTCTATAATCCTCATAGTGGTTTTATCTACCATCAAAGCAACCAGGAAAACAAAAGAAAACAGGGAAGAAATTAAGTTCTGGGGAGTTTTTTAGCCTCCTGCATGTATTTCTAGTGTTTGCGTAAGCCTTCCTCCACTTTTTAAGGAGTATGCCTCTCAGAATTAGAAACAGAATATCTATCTTTGTTACTGAGTTGTCTTTATTTATGGCAAACATTCCTGTTGCTTTCTCTATGCTTAAAAAGTTTGAAGTGCTCTCTGTGAAGTCTGATAATGCCAATTCAATCAGGATCTCATTCAAACAAACAAATTCAAGAGTTTAATTAAAATTTAAAAGTGACCCTTTCCTTTAGAAAAAGTAACATTAGGTCTCTTATTCCAATCTTCTGCTTATTCCTTAGGCTATAATGGTACATCTGCTTTCTTGACTTCAATCTTACAATACTTCTGGTTGCTTTTTCCTCTTTTTTCACATGATGCAGTTCTTTGAAAAGTCTCTATGAGAAAAACCTTTCTCTTTTAGCTTGTATGAAGCCCAGTTGACAAATACTGGAATCACTCCAGAGCATTTTTTTTATGTCCTCTGTGTAGTCTGTAATAATAAAATGATCTCTCTGGCAGTTCTTCTCTTCTTGCCTTCCAACTAGTCCTCCATCACTGATTTCACCTCCCCTTTACAAGAACCACTCTTCAGTGGTGCTCAGTGAAGAATGACCTTGTCAGACCAAACCCATGCATTTGCCATATAAAATACCTAGAATGCCAAGAACTCCACATCCACTTCAATACAAAGTACAGCAGCTTCTCCGGTACATATTTATTTGCTTAAATTAATACAATACATCATGCATGCTTTTACTATTGAGATAGAAAGCTGGAAACGAAAGATTCACAAATATAGTTGGTTCACTTCATGAGCAGTGGCTTTAAATAGGAACTCAATGTTCTAAGTGAAATAAATATGCAACACAGTATTTGCAAAATCTGTTAGGAGTACAAAATGTTAGCTCTGTTACATCTTGTTCAGCTAAGCAGACATGACATTTTTCAAAACTGTTAATTATTAAAACTTCTAGGAATAATAAATACAGTACTTATATTACCTCTTAACTGTACACTCAAAACAGCAGAGTCCAGCAGCACCATATGAAGAAAGAAGTCAAAGAATAGGTAGTAGACAAACACAGAGTTGTAAAAACATGGGGTGCAGTAGCATTACTTGGTCTTTCCAGTATCTTTTTTTACAGGAAACAGCACAGGATAAACTTTAATTATGATATTATTGTAAAGTATTTTACCCTTTGAGTTTCTGAACACAGAGCACATGTCTTTGCTGTCACAAACTGAAGGCTGTCTGTCAGCCAGGAAAACTCAGTTTCACAAGGAGACAGCTGAGTCCTTGTGGCCAGACTGAAAACACCTTGATCCAAGGTCACTTACAACTTTGCTTTCCCTGTAAATATGTTGTCTATCTTCACCCTTAAACTTTACTAGCCCAGATTTTGGCTTTTCCTCCACCTCCTCTGTACTCCAAAGTGTCTTGCAGAACTCTTCCTGCTACCCTTAACATCAGAAAAGCCTCAACTTAACAAACCGCATGCCTTCACTTGCCCAGATACATTATGGTAGGACAAATTTATATTTTCTCGGCCTGACTTCTGGAAGCATCTCAGCCATGCAAGTTTGTAGTCACTCTTATTTGCTGTAATGCTCTCCAAAAGGATGAAACAAGGCTGCATAAACAATGCAGGGAAATGGTATAGATGTGCTGTTATACAGAGGTGGTGGAGACTGGGCTTTAGTTTCATATGTCCCCATAAATTGAAGACCCAAATAACAATGAATAATAGTAAGATAAATACTTTTTGTTCCACAACATAGCTAGAAGACGATAGATAAACTCACATTAGGAATGAGAAAAAGAAGAAAATATCCCCCAATGTCCAGGACACAGGCAATGCCTCTATTGGACTTCTGAGCCTCTACACAAGGCAAAATAAGGAAGCTAATCCCATGAAAATTACAAATGGGAAATAGCTTCATAATGAGAGCAAATTTCTATAAAGCATTTTCAAAGCTATTAAAAAGCAAAGGCTGTTACTGTCTGTTCTCAAAGTGGTGCCAATGTAAATAGTGTGAAAATAACTTATGTTTGAAAAGCAAGGTGCTTCACAATGAAGGCTGTTATTTCACTTTTAATTTGTCTATTGAGGCCTCTTTGTAACAAGTATCTTAGACCTATTTGCATTATGTTCTACTGTAGGGAGGACTGTCATCTTCTAATCACTTTGCTTGGGTCACTTGGCACTGTCTTCTTACCTCACTAATAATTTTGTTTGTAATTTCTCCTATTGACAGTTTACAGTTTTAAATTAGTTTTTTTTTACTATTTCAAAATGAATTAGACTTCTGTGTTTTAGAATTACCTTAGTATGACTTTGTGACTGGGCAGAATCTCGAAGTCTCATTGTGAAGAAATATTCTGCTTTCTATAAAAATGCAACAAAAAGGGGTTCACATTATGAATTACTTGCAAATAGTATTGCCATTCTGGGACTCTTTTCCATCTGCCTGTATGTGGTTGTCAGGTGCTTCTGCTCCACTGAGAGCTGCAACTGTAGAAGTGGTTAAAGGGACTGCAGTGAGTGTGGTTGAAAGAATTTGGATTAACTGTTTAGACAACCCAGAACTGTCTGCAGTGATTTCCTTTCCTAAGGACACATCTGGCACATGCTCTTACAAGGTCAGTGAGGAAACTCTGGACTGCATGCTTCCAGCAGACATGGTTTTTGCAGTGACAGAATCACATAATCACAGAAGAATTTAGGTAAGAAAAGACTTCTAAAATCATTAAGTCCAACCTTTGACCAATCTCCACCTGGTCAGCTAGACTAAGTGCCAGTCATTTCTTGAACACCTCCAAGGATGTTGTCTGGCTTGTTGTCCTTCTCTGGACATGCCCCAGCACTTCAATGTCTTTCTTAGAGTGAAGGACCCAAAATTGAACACATGATTTGAGATGCAGCCTCACCAGTGCCCAGTACACGGGCACAATCCCTGCCCTGCTCCTGCTGGCCACACTATTGCTGGCACAGGCCAGGATGCCATTGGCCTCCTTGGCCACCTGGGCACTGCTGGCTCCTGTTCAGCTGCTGTCACCAGCACCCCCAGGGCCTTTTCCTCTGGGCAGCTTTCCAGCCACTCTGCCCCAGCCTGTGGCACTGCCTGGGGCTGTTGTGACCCCAGGGCAGGACCCAGCTCTGGGCCTTGTTGAACCTCACAGCACGGCCTTGGCCCATGATCCAGCCTGTCCAGATCCCTCTGCAGAGCCTGCCTGCCCTCCAGCAGATCAACACTCCCACACAGCTTGGTGTCATCTGCAAAATGACTGAAGGGGCTCTCCATCCCCTCATCCAGATGATTAATAAGGATATTAAACAGGGCTAGGCCCAGTACTGACCCCTGGGGTACACCACTGGTGACTCTCTGCCAACTGTAGTTAACTCTATTACCCACCACTCTCTAGCTCAGCCATACAGCCAGGTTTTTACCCAAGTGAAGGGCTCATCTGCCCAAGCCATGAGCTGCCAGCTTTTCCAGGAGAATGCCATGGGAGATAGTATCAGAGGCTTTGCTGAAGCCCAGATAGAATACGTTCATTGATATTAGTGGCTGGGAGTGGAACTCTGCTGAAAATGTCTCCTTTGCTCTATTTGTCTGGACTGCAAATGATATGTAATATTTTGCTTCTTTCTTGGTAAGGATTGTCTAGCTGTCCTATAGCACTCTCCAATTAATAGACAAGACTTTGCAATAGAAGTGCTGTATACTTTCCTGCTTTATACACCACAGGAGTGAAGGACTTTCTAAATTCCACCCACCTGCATGATCACTTTTCTGGAAATTGCAAAGAGATTCCTGATTCCTTGTTTGTTCTTCTTATCATGGGAACCAATATATCTGAAAAGGTTGAGTCGACTGATCTTGAACTGTGCACAGCTGGAAACCACACCACAAGGAGGGAGAGAATTCTAAGAATTAACTACTCACAGCTTTTGGCTGTATACATGCTCAAATGGGAGCTTTTGTCTGTCAGAGACAAGCTAGAGCCAAGAATATAACTGAAGGAGTTGCTCCCATTTCTGACAGACCATCTACTAGACCATGCTGAATTTCTACCTGATCATTTCCCCTATAGTCTAAGAAAGAATACATTTACACTCATTACTCTAAAAATTTTCTAATTTTTTTGCTTGTCCTCAATATCTACCCTGAAAGAAAGATGGTTCTTTTTTTCAATAGGCATCATCTTACAGCTAAAGCAAGGAAGAGGAATGTTTATGATAGAACAGTTTATCCCTGAAGAAACATGACTATGTACCTCTAAAATACACCTCACTTTCAAAGACTTTTTAAATTCTAGGCTGAAAGTGACCTACCTTCCAGTTCAATTTGGCATAACATTTTTATTTTTAAAAATATACACATCAGACATAGAGTTAATTTAGAAGAATCACCTGGATGTTACTCTGTCTTTTATCAACAGCTTTTTCTGCATAAATTTCTGCGTGTGTTATGCCACATTTGAGCCTTGAAAAAGGAAAGCACTGCCTGCAGCCTTGGACTACACAAATCCAGTTTTATGTGAGGAATAAGGACGTTGCCCTGTGAATGCTGATTAACTGGTAGGCATGAAGTTCATTAATTTGAAAGGTATGTGTTTTTTTATAGGGGCAGAGAGCTGAAGCTAAATTACTTGTCTTAGCAAGCCATAAGTAGACAACTATATTTAATTATAACTTGCTACATAGAGAGCATGATTGCAATGACTTCAAATCAAGAACTTGGCAGGTAAGTGAAGAAGGTAGTAATATTTGGAAGACATGCACCATATATATTTTGAGCTGGGATGTCTGAAGGACATAAGACAAATTTCGTGATTAATAGGATGGTGCATGGCTGTTTTTCATCTTTCTTGAAGTTGCAGGAACTGATACATTGTTCAAAGTATTCATGCAATTAATGAAGTTTAATGGATATGCTTTTTCCATGTTTGTTATAAACATATTATTTTTGGGAATCAGAGGATGAAAATCTGAGTTTTACTCTGCAAAAACAGCATGAGTGAAATTTGTCTGAAAGGCCTGCAGCTTACTGCTCAAGATGTGTTTAATAAGAGAATATTTTTGATCCCAATAAGAAGAAGGTTTTCCTCTGTGAGGTACTGCTTGTTCTATAAGGGTGATTTTTGCCTTCTGAAACAAACTTTTATGAGATCTGTGTATTTCAACATTATCCTTACTAGTCATGATAAACTGAAGAAATAAATGGCAAAGCTGCTTAATTTTTCTATTAAATGACTGTGTTATGTGTAAGTATGGCAAGATTGTGAATGCTGCATGCTGATGCTGCCCTGTAAATGTATTGGTCAAAGCAGGCAGTAGAGCAAAATGTCAATACAATCTATGCTATTTCACTTCAAGAATTTCTGAATGCTCCCATACTGGTTGAAACACAGCAAAGCACAAACATTCCTCATGCCAGAGGACTAGCCTTTGTAATAAATTCCAGTCCTTTCAAACTCTTACAGAACTGTCATTTACTGCCTCCCAAGACAATATTATTTCTTATTAATTGGTTTCCCGTTTCTCATTGTAAGTAGTTGAACTAAAAGTCACTTCAGTAAATCAAAGTATTTGGACTGCGTTAGTTTTGAATGTTGACAGCATTTTCATGCATGCCATGTTTAATAATACTCTGGCTTATAATGTGAAATACTTTGTATTTTCAGATATTTTTGAGGCATATGATTAGAAGCGTTCATATATATTTAGTCAGATAATAAATCAGATGCTAGAGTATGTTGCTTTCTGCTAAGTAGAAAATTGCATGTAATTATCTATCCCCATATAATAGGAAGTAAACTTCTGTACCCAACCCATTGTCTGTTATACATTAAATGGATAAATACAAAAGTGTTATTTTTCAGTATCTATTGCAATTCTTGGTGACCTCAAGCTGCTTTATTATTGTAATGTATGTCTTTTACCCTAAATTATTTTTAATAATTTGGCTTATTTATTTCTACATACTACAGACTTCCAGGCTTTAGTAGCTTACAATTCATGTTAAAATCTATCTGGTTACCATTTTCAAGCTGTTTTAAGATGTCCATTTTAAATGCCTATAAGCATTGTTTGTTTTTCCATTTTTCTTTCCAGCAATTCTTTCAAACTCTTATTCCTGTGCTTGAAATACAAGTAATCAGAGAGAGACTGATCAAGTCTGGCCTTTTCAAAGGATCGAAAGCTGAGATGTTCTTTGTTGTTTGCAAGTTCTCCCTCTCCATGTCTCTCCTCTTTGTCTGAATTTCCTATTCTCTTCCCCAGTCCTCCCTCACTTAACACCTCTTCCTTCTCCTTGCAGTAGGACTCTCTGAAGTCCTTCATCATGCACTCAGGTTTGCCAGAGAGATCTTGAGCCATGTACAGCTTGTTGTCATCATCATGGTACGTGGCAGGGCTGTACCGCTCTGCCTCATAGCAGTTGTCTTCCTCTTCTTCCTGGCATGAGCTTCCCTTGGCACTCTCACCATCAGAATGAAATGAGACTCCCTTCCCTTGGCTTTTCTGGGAAAGATCAAATGGCTCTTCCTGTTCCAAGCTTCTCAAGACATTTGTCTGGGACAGAGCAATCCTTCCTCTTCCAAGACCTTGTAGTGGTTTGAGGGGAAGAGAAAAGGAAAAAATTATATATAGGAAATTTTACTACTTGGCTAATGGCTAAAACCAAAATCTGAGGTGTCTCTGTATTTCATATTTTACCATTGACTTCCATCCAGTTATCTCCAAGTACTTAATCTCTTACATGAGTTTACATCTCATGGCATCTCTTTTGAGGTGCTGCAAAAAGGAGTGCTATTGTATACACTTTACAGGCAGGTTAGGACACAAAAAGCAATGTTTTATACAGCCAGACTCTGAATGATGCAGCTGGGAAGAAAAGTTAAATGGTCTGGCCTTTTGTAAACTGAATTTTGCCAATCAACCTACTCACTTCCTCCTTCCTAGTCTTTTTTAAAAAGAAAACTTGAATCTAAAGCATCACAGTCCATAATCCAAGTCCCAGGTTTTGTATCTTATTTTTCAGAGGAGTGGAAGAGACTAAAAACCTGGTAATGTATTTGTTCTGTGGATGCTCTAGTTCAAAGTTAACACTTTAAAAATGAAAGGACAACAGTCTCAGCGGTCTATGATTCTCCTTATTTTTTCCCCTTTCATCTACTGAGAAACAATCAACTGAAAAGATCTATGCATTAGATAGTGCTTCAGTTTGAGGAAATCATTATAAACAAATGATGATTTTGAGCAGGGTACATAAATAAGCATCTAATCCTGGATCTGCTTTGTCTTAGTATTTGTCAGTGTCTTCCCTCTTGCTGGAAATACAGATTATCCAAGAGGCATCTGTGGACTCAAATATGCCCCAAACATCGTCAGGATATTTTCAAAAGAATTTAGATACTGCAGGCATCTTCATTATACTTATATAGATTCATTATATAGATACTGCAAGCCAGCTTCATTAAAGACTAGTGACAATACAAGGTGAGGATTTCACCCAATAGCAAATTCCTATGAAAGTCAATATTTTGCTTGCTTTTGTTTTTTTGGTGGGTTTTTTTTTGTTTGTTTGTTTTTGGGGTTTTTTTTGGTAGGTTTTTTTTTATTTTCCCCTCAGTAATTGAATCCAGTTTCTGAAGGATCTACGTAGTCTCACTGGATAGCAGATGTTATTTTGCAACAAGATGTATTTGGTAAAAGGATTTGTATGCAGTTATCAGGCCTCACAAATTTTCTCGTATCTGGCGAGCCTCAAGGGCCACAGAATCTCTGTACAATAAAAAGATCTTAGGTAATCTCCAATTACAAGCAATTGTCTAACTAGCATGATGCTGTAGGAGATTTACAGAAAAAACACTTACTTTCTTAACCATTAGGATCTTCAAACATTTTATACCAAATGTCGCTAGAGAGTTTTACACATGTGCTAAGCTGCCCTAAAGCTTGAATATGAGGAACACCAAGAAGTCTTTATAATATACATTAAATAAACAATTATTTATCTGCAAAATCTTAAAAAACATACCTTGAATACCCAAGTCCTCAAAATATTCTAATATTCCCCCACTTCTTTAGATAGCATTAATCTGTGTACACCATGAGGATGACTTTAGGAAGTATATGTGGTAGGTGGCAGACAGGAAATGCTTTGCAGGATGGTCTCGATAGTCAAAAATTGTTATACTGTGGGACTTATACTTTGAGGAATATCCCCTTCTGTTCATCTGCTTCCTTGTAAATAGGATCTTGATCCTATGGCCTTCATCTTACACCAGCTGTGTCAAAACAGCACAGAATGACAAAGGCTCCTGGATGTAGACCCATTGAGTAGTCCATCCCTGTTCCAGACTGGAATCCAATAAGCAGTGAGAAAGGACCATAAGTGTTCCAGATTTTCTTTTTCTGTCAATTTAGGATTAATTTATGATTTATTTGGGACATGTAACACTATAGTAATATAGCTAATAGCACCTATGGGGTTCTATCTCTAGGAATAGTGTTGGATCTATGGTACAAGTTTGTGGCTCTGTAGTACAAAGGCCATTTGTGTTTACTGCTATGCATATTCGTATCTCACAAAGAATAATCTTGCTGAAAATTATTACCTTGAGAATGAAATCCTCTTTCCATGACCCCATGTTTGACTTTCATGTGCCTGGTTAGGTTCCCCTTCAAGGTGAATTTGCTGGGGCAGTAGAGGCACTTAAATGGCTTGCTATCTGAGTGCAAGTGCATGTGTCCCATTAAATTGTGCATTCTGTTAAACTCCTTTCCACACAGCTGTAAAAATGATAAAAATGAAAATTATTAATTTGAAGCAGTTTTTTCAAGGACAACATTTTTAAGGGAAATAAGAACTACACTTCTCAGCTTGAACTCTGGCAGTTTTTGGCTGCAATATGTTTTTAAAATTCCAGGCAAAAATCCTCCAGGAAAAAATATATGATTGAAAATATGTGGTTGAGTATCTAAGGCATTCTGAACTGCTGATATTTTTTAATATTGGTGACCAGCACACATAGTCAAGGATTCCCAAAAAAACAGTCAATGTTGTTATAAGGAGGGGAAAGACTAAAGGGAGCAATTTGGAAGGCTCTTAACTTGAATGAGATTCAAAGTACAGGTTTCTCCCTGGTGAACCATTCCATTTTAGTTTATACATCTAGCCTTTAGTCAAGAACAATGTCAAGCAGAAATGGAATTATACAATAAAACAAATTAATGGTCTCTGTGAAACAGTCAAGCAGAATATTACTTCTCTTTAAATGGAAATTAAATGGCTGCACATTCTGCTTAAAGTTAGAAAAAGCAATTCCTTGTTTTTCTGTGTTTCTTGCTCACCCTTTTTTTCCCCGATTCTTTCATCATTTGTTTATCCACTGCTGTGTTTCAGTGTCTCTGGTGAACAAGCTACAATTTAAACAGTCATGAGGCTGCAAGAATGACTCAGCTTTCCCTGAAGCATGTTCCTGCCAGCTCAAGCCACTGATCGTGAAATTTTCCTTTTGATGGAACAATAAGGGTGGGTTTTATTCATTTTTGTTTATTTAGATGGGTCCTTTTGTTGTCTGGACTCTTATGTATTCTTAAGACATGAGAGTTTGACATCACTATTACAGTCATCCAGTCTTATTTGTCTTCTGTTCTTTCCTTATAATTTTATTCACATTCAAGTGGCTATTTCCATCCTCTGCAAACTTCTGTTTGGTTTCTTTTTTTCTTTTTTTTTTTCTTCCTGACTTGCCATTGGATTTTAATTTTTAAAAATTATTCTTATTACTATATGAACCAGAGTCACCATTACTGAGTAACTGAAACCTTCATCTAACAGGGTAACCATCTGGCATAAAATTACTAAATAGAAATTACTAAGACTCCATCAGATTTTTACCAGACTTTTTTGTAAAACCTGGATTCCAATCTTACTTATTTGGGTATTACAGAAGAACTGATACAGAACTTGCAGAAGCAAATTCAAAAAGTCATTAGCAGGAATATCTGGATGAAATGTAGATAGTGAAAGGATTCTTGGAGAGACAGTACCACGTGCTTTGTGTTTTAAGCCCTCTCTTGAGGGAAAATTGAATCAGTTCATTAATAAAAAAAATAGCAGGTGTATTGTTTTAAAACAAAAACTATAGCTGAGTCAGTGCTGCAAAAGAAAGAGTCTCAAAACATTCACTTGTTTTTCAAAAAATTATTTGCTTCATCTGCATATGTACCCTTTTGTGTTTTTCTGTCTGTAATTTTGCTAAAATTAAAACTCTAGCAAATAAATTTATCAGCAAAGTGTAAGACAAGATGGTTGGTGATAAAAAAGAATAGCCACTGAAAGTGAATAACTAATTTTAGAAGTTAGCTGTTTCCAAGGGTCATCCATCTAGTGAGGAAAGAATACTGTCTTCTTTATACTCAGGGAAAGTTCATATGCAGGATTATTTACACTCAGAGAAATGATGGAACCACAATATAGCTCAGAAAGTGCTGGGAGGAAACAGATTCTTGTTTACTATTGAGAGTACTAATGAGAAGAGAAAATTTGCAAGGAGTAACAGCAGTAGTGGCAGCTGATTGTACCTTGACAGCTGCTGGAACAACCTGTAACATGTCAATATTACTCTTGCTACAAGTATGTCAACAATAATATCTCTCTCTAACACCTCTTTGCTGAAGGCTTCTGGTTATCTGCTTGCATTTTGGCTGATATGTTTTCACCAGAACTTGCTTTCCTATAGCTAGGTCTTCTCTGTCATAACTGGTAGCCAAGGAAAATCATGTTGCGTAGGGGAGTGGCTTCAGTACTGCATTCAAACCCTTATCTTTATAAGGTCTTGAGTATTTAAATTTATTTAGGAGGAGCATTTAGTTGCTTTCTCTCAAGGCAATACAATATTTGTTTCTCTTTCTTCATACTGAAAAGACAGGGACTTGGTAAAGGATAGTTCTTTACAGCATAAAAGTTCTGTGTCTCTGAATAAAATTGATAGGTTTTCCATTTCCCAGGGTCAGGCACATCTTAGAGATGTGTAATGTGTTCTTGTCCTGAAATGTTCTCTGGGGACATGAGGAAATGGCACTAGAGTGCAGAGGTGTGGCAGGAAAATTAAAGAAATGCAGATAGGGAAATTTTTTTTTGGAATGATGGGTCTCTGTGGCATTATTTGTTTTACTGGTCATTTCAAAAAGGCATGAGACACCTTTCGGATGAATATCTAAGATCCAACTGTAAAAGGAAATATGTTTCTCACTTGTATGCTGGAAAACTGCAACTTAATCTGGTTAACGCTCAGTTAAGAGCCTGAGTCTGCAGATCATACTAGAAGATTGTGCAAGATTTTCTTTCTCTCTGACATGACAGGCTTGTGAACACTGATGAGCAGAGTGTGAAAGATGACCCTGAGACAGTTGCATGGGAGGAGTTCCAGCAGAACCCACAACAGTGCAACATAGCACTCGGGGAGATGAGAAGTTTATATAAGAGAACTTGGGATATCAGGAACAACATGGTTTCCTTGTAGACTTTATGTTAGACTGTCTAATTTAGACAAAAAAAAAATAAATTTAAGTCTTGACGAGAACACCTCCGTGCAAGTCTGTTGAACAGACTTCATTGCACTGGCTGGTGAAATGGACTTCAGTATAGTTGGCTAGAAAAGTCTACATTAGCTCAACCCTAGATTTTGTCCTAAGCCAGGACGTGAAGTATTGTCCCTCTAGATTTGTCACTTGTTTCTTCTCAAAGTACTTCTCTCTCACATTTTCTTTGATTTTGACTCCTGTTTAAAAAACGCATTTTTTAGATGGAGAAAAAAGTGATGTTCAAAACATCTGTTGCAGATATTTGTCTGGGCTGAAGAGAAAGTCATTGCATCATTTATTTGAGGTCTGATACATTGATTACTTCAGCACCAAAAGCTACAGTAAATTTCATGGAATTTTTCTCTACAAATCCGAATTAGTACTGTTGAACCAGCTGGTGGAATACCTTCATAACGCCTCAAGTTTTTTCGTGAGCACAAATAAACAAGGCAACTTAGGCTCAGGTCTGTAAATGCTACAGACAAGTTCACTCTTCAGAGGATAATCAAACTGAGATCCAGGCTGCAGCTGGACGAGGAAACAGAAGGGACAACTATTTGCTACTTGGTCACTTCTGATAGTATGTGCTTAGCTGTGATTAGACACATAGGAAAGATCATGTTTTCTTTTGCTGTGAGAAAAAGGTAAAGAAAACCATTGCATGTGGTGAAGTATAAAGGCTACTGCTGTGCTCTCTTTCCCTTGCATTCTTCTTCTTTTTTTTTTTTTCTTCCTAAGAAGGGTGTTCCTTTCCTCAAAGAAAGAAGGAGAGGGAGAATGACTGTAAACTGTCCAAAAGGACCGTGAGAAAACAGGAAGCTTTGAAAAGTACAAGAGAAAGCAAGATGAAATCTATTTGCAGGCGGTTCCCCAGGGACATGTGAGCCATTGTTAAGCAGGCTGTTCATACAGCTATATCCTTCCTTCTGCTGAGGAGGAGCTTGGTGCCAAAAGGCTGCTATCTGGTCATTGCCTTAACCCTGCAAGTACCAGTCAGAAATATTTGCTTTCAAGAGACTTTGAGGGTTCTGTCAGAGAGGTAATGTTAGGATGTTCCTAATGCAAAAAAGCAACTCCAGATTCTGCTTCTGCTTATTGTTGCAGTCTTCACTGTCAGGGCCACTGATGTTGATTCATACCCCTCCAGCCATATGAGAAATAGATTCACTGTGCTTGTTTCTTTCCTCATAGGAACACTGGGTGGGGACAGAAAAGTAAAAAAATAAGAAAAACAGGTGTTCCTGTAGAGCTTTTGTTACTGTCTGGAAAACATACTAGTGATACTCTGTTTCCCAGTTCCAACTATTGCCCTCTCTAAGTTTCAATAGTCTGTCATCATCAAACACTGAGCTGAACACAGCCTTCCAGCTAATCTGCACGTACCCAAAAAAGTCATATGGATCTACATACTGCACCTACAAAATCTGATCCAAAAAATTTAATTTATTTTCTGAAGTTTGAGGATTCAGAGGAGGACTTCAACCAAACACAAACAAAAAGGCAGGTTTGCAGATGTTATGAAAGAATGAAAACCTCCTGCAGACCTGACATGTTACACCGTAAGAATTTCAGTGAAAGAAATTATTTTATCAATATAGAATAATGAAAGCTATATAATATATAATAATGTACTATACAAAATACTATTCTCATGAGACATAAATTAAAATAAAACGAAATACTGAAGTTGAATGTCTTTGCTGTTAATTTTTCAAAGAAATTTTTTTTAGTTAAGAAAGCAAAATGATGAAGTCAGAAAGATTCATTTTGACATTTTCTTACTAAAACTAGGACTGAATATCATATATTCCTATGACATTTTGAACTTCTACATTTTTTCAAGAAATATAATTCCATTTAAAATTTTTCATCCATCTCTGCTTCTTCATGAAATGTTCCTTTTAAGAAAATATTCAGTACTATGAAGATGTAGGATGAAAGAGTTCTAGAAATTGCTTTCAAATCATTCTGCTGTTACTTATGCATAAGCTCCACTCTGTATTTACAGCCAGCTTAGAACAAATTAAAGTGGGAAAGAAATCTACAGTCCTTGACTTCACAAGGTATGACTACAGGAATGAACCAGATAGGCAGAAAAAGGACTGATGTAGCATCCAATGCTGAGTAAGAATATAGCTACAAATAATTAATAAGGAAAATATTAGAAGTAAATGGGTCAATAGAGCCTTAAAGTTTTATGGGGAGGGAGGAGAAGAGAGGATGGAAAGGGAACGTTAGCCTCCAGTGCTGGGGGGAAGCAAACTGGAATTTGCACAAGACTGTAGAAAGGCCAGGTGGTCTCAGTGGTGGTTTTGTTAGCATACTGATACCCTGCCCTGAACTTCAGTCTGGTAATTACACTTGGCCCATTCAAAGCCCTTCTGTAGTTTTATTTTGCTGTGGCTTTTTCTGACTTCTTTCTTGAGAGCATCACTCTGTGAAGTTGTGGCTGCTGTTTTTCCATGATCCTCTCTGTAGGGTGCGTGACTTGATTTATGCTTTTTGCCAGTGTTTCAAGCTATTAAGCACTTAAATGTCTGTTTGGATGGCTGTACTAAGCAAATGTCAGATATGTTTATTGTCCTCAAACTTAAATGATCACAGAAAAAAAAGACCCCAAAACTATGTGAGGATGAATGATACTGAAGGGAAAGGGAGTAAACCACTGCTATTTACCTCCATTATTTTGTGCTACATAAGCAGAACCTGGATAAAGAAAGAAAATCAGATTGGTTTATGCTAATTTTTGAATGCAACTGCAGTATGTGTTAGCAAGTTTTGTTTTTCTAATTCTGCCATATCATAAGTGGCAATATCAGAGAAATATACCTACGTTATTTATATATATATTACATATATACATTAATGCCTCTGCCAACAAATGCACTTACCTTGCATTTAAAGGGTTTGACATCAGAGTGAACAATCATGTGGGCCTTGAGAGTCTGCTTTTGCACAAAGCTCTTGAAGCACAAATGGCATTGATATGCTCTGATATTGGTGTGGATCAGGACATGTCGCTTCATGTTGGCCAGCAGGGTAAATTCCCGGCCGCAAATTCCACATTTGTGCTCTTTCACACCCTGAAAGACATGAAAAATTCTGTAGACGGAAAATTTTCTAGGTAATTTAATCATCAGTACACCAACTTATGAATTATTCATTCTGCATTAGCAAAGTTGATGATAAATTATTTCACTTTTAACATTTTTCAAGATACCTATGTATTTTCTCCTGAGAAATTCTTACAAGCTTCTGAGAAGCAGAGAAGTAAAACAAAATGTAAGCTAAATGAAATAATGAAGTCTGTTTACAAATCAGTCAAACACAGTCAGTGTCAGAGCTTCCCTTTCCTGCTCTGCTGCTTAAGTATTGATCAAATGTATACAATTACTGACCAAGAATAAAAGCCCACAACTTAAAAGACTAAAGTAGTGCCTGCCTTTAATAGATGAATGTGACTGGATTATGAAAAAGGCACAGACCTATTTTGAAGAAAGTTATAGAAAATAATCTGAGAGTAGTCAAACAGTATCACTAAGTAAGATTAGACATATTTATTGCAAAGAGAAAAACCTGTTCTTAGTGTTATTTTCTGTTACCATAATGGAATGATTTCATTTTATATGAGGTCTATAGAACATTTCTATCACTTTTTATGCTATCCACTCAATTTACTACTGCATAATTCAATATTCTTGACCACCCATGTGGTCTGTCAGCTTCTCACAGTGATTTAGATACCATGAAAATCGAAGAATTTTTTACCAAACGGCTTAAGAGTTTAACTTGCTGAAGGTAATAAGGATTTGCTAGTGAGGTGCTGAGAGCAATTACTCCTTCTGCAGGCCTTCTTTAAAGAGATGTGAAATGACTGTCAGTGGTTTTCACAGTTAATTACTAAGCTAAAACTGAACATCACTAGCAGTTTCAACTGTCTGCTCATCTGATATGAGGCTGCATTTAGTCAGCTAAGTACTATAAATTATATTCACAGCTGAAACCACCTGCGGCTGTGGACAAAGAAGCAGAAGCTCTCTAAGGGCTCAGGGGCATTTCATTTCCTGTGACAAAAAAACCTACCGAGTCTTCAATTAGTGGAGTCTTGCGTGGTAAGTCCGAAGACCAGGGAATCTCCAGAACGAACAGAAATTATAAGCATGAAGCAGAAAAGAAAAAGCAAATGTGGAAGTAGAGGTCCGGTTTTCAAAGAATACATGACTAAAAGGCTCAAGTGCTGTAGCTTTCTGTATTTTTAAGGTTTTTCATGTAAAAGCCAGAATTCAAATGTTAAAGGAAAAATATGCAAATCCAGGAGAAAACTTTTTTTAAACTGAGATGTTTTGACTTGTCTTATTATTTTTGTAAAAGTGGATAGTCAATTTCAGAGCTTCTTGAATAGAACAATTACATTTTTCTTATTTTTGAAAGCAATCTTTTCAGAAATGTTACAAAGCTTTCTCCTATCCTAAGTTGACTCTGTTGTCACCACTGTCAACAGTGGCAAGACTGCCGCTTGATATGAACTGGCTATGATTATGATCCTGCTTGTCCATTTCTATTAACTGCTATTCTGGATAACATATGCACAAAGGGGAAATTTTCTTAGGGTTGTTTTGTTTTTTAAATGTCTCATTATAATGATTCTTCAAAATCTGATGAATAATAACATACTTTTTTTTTATTATTTCCTGCAGTCCACTACAAACCCATGTATCTTTTAAATTAACTTAATTCTTCAAAATTTCAGTACTGGGGAGGTGTTTATATATACAGTGTATATATATATATATATATATGTATATATACAGTAGATATAAAATTTTGCAGTAGGTCATTCCAAAAAAAAAACCCAAGAAACAGAGAGATGTGAATCCAGTTTGGGGAAGTGATACAGGGGGTTTAATTGAATTCCTGCTTATAACAAACTTGGATTTGCATGTACTTTCTTAAGCCTGACAGACACCCGGCTGGTACGACTGCCACCAATGCTGGGGCTTCTGTGTAAGCCTCTGCAGCTGGCAAGAGACACATTTCCGAGGAAGTACCTATATGTATCTCTATTAGTAGCCTGTAATCCTCATACTGCCTTCAGATGCAAGTGAGAGTTGGCTTACCTTATGAGTCAGGGAGTGTTGCTTCAGGTGGTGGGGCTGCACAAACTCCATGCCGCATTCTGTACAGATGTATGGGCGGATGTCTTTGTGCTTCATCATGTGGTTTTGCAGCTGACTTGGGTACTGGAAGGTCTTATCACACTCAGTGCAATTGTACTGTATAGGGCCACGGTGGGTGGTTAGGTGTCTCTTCAGCTGGGCCAGAGTTGGAAAGTCCAGGCCACACTCGACACAAATGTTCTCTCTTCCACTCTCATGCTTAGACTCATGTGCTTTCAGCTCACTGGGGTAGGCAAAACCCCTGCCACAGATCCTGCAGTTGTAAGGTTTGATGTCACTGTGTTGCATCATGTGTCTCTTAAGGTGACTTGTTTGAGTGAAAGCCTTGTGACACACCTGGCACTTATGTGGCCGAGTGCCTTGGTGTGTCAACATATGTGTGTGCAAGTGGCTCAGCTGCTTGAAAAGCTTGCCACACCGGGTGCAAGCATGTGGCTTAATGCCGCTGTGACCCAAGATATGAGTGACTAAATTGTACTTGGATGTGTAGGACTTCTCACACATGGGACATTGCCAGCGTTTCTGTTCTCCCCCCACATCAACATAGTAGCTGTCATCTATCTGAAGGTTGACATCTACTCTTTCCACTTTCTGTTTGTTTTCACCATTTTCTCTTACTTCAGCCCTCCTGAAGGGTGGTTCTGGAGGTCTTTTCATTTGAAAAGGGTTTCTGAAATGAAAGTTTGGTGGTACAATGAAGGGAAACATTAAGCCAGGGTGGACTTTAGGATAATAAGGGTAAGGAGCCTGCATGAATGCTGGGCTACTGGGCCATGCCATGTTAGGCTTCACTGGTTCTTGCTTAATGGGCTTGGCTCCAAAATGCTCCAGTGTTCTGTAGAATTGAAAACCAAAGTTGCAGAGGTCAATCATCTGGGAACTGTACTTGGGTTGAGTGGGCTGTTGGAACACCAAGGGGAGACTGGAAGAGCCTATATCATTGTGATCTTCAGGTCTATCTGGTGACAATGAGGAATCCCCAAGGGTGATGGGAGGAGGCATTTTTGTTGGCATACTCTTGCGTTTACGAGACCCTCCTTCCAAGGACCCTTGGAATGTTTCCATGGTTTCAAGAGAAGGAGGACCATAGTGGAAATGTGAGAGGTGCGTTCTGAATTCATCATCAAATTGAGTTGTTCTGTGTGGCTTTATAACAGGGCTGAGTGGCTGCAGGCAGCGGGAGAAGGGAGAGGCTCGGGTATTGTCCACATTAAAACTTGATTCTTCATTCTTCATCATATTCAATTTTCTTCTCTGTGGCCCAAATTCCTTAAAGTAAGCAAAAGAAACTACATATCTGTTTATTTCTTCATGTTTTTCTGGATTTAACATTCTACTGACCTTTTTATTGTTTTGAAGTCTGTTGGGTTTTTTAAATAAATACAACTAATGATTTCTTAGGTCTATATAAGACAAAGGCCTTTTAAAGCAGAATTAAATTGTAAAGTGAAAAGCAAAAAAGCTTTGGTCTTCCTGCAGCAGATTTGACCCACACTACATTTTTACAACATAAACTTTCTGTACTGTGACACACTACTTCATGGCAATGTTTCTGCCCAATTTAATTCACTCAGTCTGGTTGTGGGCAAAATTCTGTCCTTGGCTGCACATGAGCAGGCTCTAGAAATTGGCGGTGCATCTAAAGGATATGGTAATACAAACAATAATATGCACATTTATTATGGTTGTGACATGAAAAGCCAAAGCCAAAAAATGTTAAACTTCTTTGTATAATTAACATGTGCTGCTGTGAGAGAAAACAATGGCCAAGTGATCTAAGGACACTGTGTACCATCAGGTTTTGCGCCATGTTTCCTGGCTACTCGCACTTTGTATTGTAATAAGAAGGCGGAGATTAATTTATTTTCTTTGTTTTAATCACAGAGATATTTGCCTGGCAGATCTGGGGGAGGAAAGACATTTGACAACTCTCCAAATTACATTCAGTTTAATAGGCTTTATCTATCACTTTTTTGTTGTTGTTTGTTTGTTTCTAAACAGGTGGGCAAAATCACCACTATAAAAATAATGTAGAACTGATGTCAACAAAACCCCTGGGACTCCAGAGTAACTGACACCTAAAAATGCTCTGAGCCTATCTGATGATACAATGTGATCAGGCAGATTAATAATTTTCTCCTGGCAAAATTTTATGTCCATGCGGGGAACGTGTTTATGGTCATACCGGGAACTTCATCTGAATTTGTGGTTCATCTAAAGCATTAGTTATGTATTTTGGTTCATCTTAAATAACACTGCTACCTTTTCCCTTGTCCTTCTAGAGTCATAGAATCAGAAAACTTTTGTTAGAAAAGACCTTTAAGATTATCAATTCCTGCCATTAACTGCTGAATCCACCACAAAAACATGTCTCTAAGTACCACATCTATACGTCTTTTAAATACCTCCAAGGATGGTGACTCAATCACTTCTGTGGACAGCCTGCTTCAGTTCTTGACCACCTTTTCTGTGAAGAGGTTTTTTCCTGGAACAACTTGAGGCCATTTCTTCTTGTCCTGTCACTTGTTACCTGGGAGAAGAGGCAAATACCCATCTGGTTATAACCTCCTTTCAGGCAGTTGTAGAGAGTGATAATGTTACCCTGAGGCTCCTTTTCTCCAGTGAAACAACCACAGCTCCCTCAACCACTCTTTACAGGACTCGTGCTCCAGACCTCTCAACAGCTTTGTTGACCTTCTCTGGACACACTCCATCGTCTCAACATTTTCCTTGTCATGAAGGGCCCAAAACTGAACACATGATTTGAGGCCTCACCAATGCCCAGTACAAGGGGACAACCAGCTCCTGCTGGCCACACTATTGCTGGCACAGGCCAGGATGCCATTGGCCTCCTTGGCCACCTGGGCACTGCTGGCTCATGTTCAGCTGCTGTCACCAGCACCCCCAGGGCCTTTTCCTCTGGGCAGCTTTCCAGCCACTCTGCCCCAGCCTGTGGCACTGCCTGGGGCTGTTGTGACCCAAGGGCAGGACCCAGCTCTGGGGCTTGCTGAACCTCACAGCACGGCCTTGGCCCATGATCCAGCCTGTCCAGATCCCTCTGCAGAGCCTGCCTGCCCTCCAGCAGATCAACACTCCCACACAGCTTGGTGTTGTCCACAAACTTAGCAAGGGTACACTTGATCCTCACATTCATCAATAAAGATATTAAACAGGACTTGCCCCAGAACTGAGTTGAGCCCTGGGGAACACCACTGGTGCCCATCTGCCAGCTGGATATAACTCCATTCACTACCACTCTCTGAGCCAAGGCATCCTGACATTTTTTACATGGGAAACAATGCACCCATGAGGCCATGAACTGTCTGTTTCTCCAGGAGAATGTTGTGGGAAATGCTGTGAGAAGCTTTGCTGAAGCCCAGGAAGACAGAATACATAGCTTTTCCCTCTTCCACTGAGGCATAGAAGGAGTTCCCGTTGGGAAAGTAGGCCTTGCCTTTCATGAGCCCATGCTGGCTGAGCCAGATCCTCTGCTGAGCTGTTCTGTAAATGCTGTGTGATGGCACTCAGGAGCTGCTCTACAACCCTCCTTCCAACCCTACTTGTAGGTAGGAGTCATATTTGCCAACATCCACTCAGCTGGGACCTCCTCAGACACCCAGGAGTGCTGGTAAATTATGGAAAGTAGCTCGGTGAGCACTAGCTCCCTTGGTACCCTTGGGTAGATCCCATTAGTCCCACAGACTTGCAGCAGGTTGCTGACTATTTCCCCTTGGATTATGGGGGCTTCATTTGGTTCCCTGTCTGTCTTCCAGCTCAGAGGCATGAGCACCCTGAGAACAACTGATCTGACTACGCAAGACTGAAGCAAAGAAGGCAGGAAGTACCTCAGACTTTTCTTCACTGTTTGATGCTAAGTTTCACCCCACATCCAACAAAGAATGAAGATTCTCTTTGGCCCACTTTTTGATGTGAATGGATATATAGAAGCTGTTATTTTCTGTGGCAATAGCTGGACTAAATTCGAATTGGGCTTTGGTCTCTCCAGTTTTCTCTCTGATAAATTCGTGACATCCTTGTAGCCCTCTTGAGGGATGCACTTACATGAATGTGTGTGTTTGTGTGCTTGTATCTAGCCAGCCAGGCAGAAGTTACGCTGGAAAACTAGACACATTTTCCCTCTATCATCTGTGACATGTTGATTCTATTTATACCATCATTCTTGGAAATGCTGGTGGAGAGCATGAAGGTGAGTGGAGCACTAAATACACTCCTATTTCTATTTCAGGAAGCTCCATGCTGGATAAGTTTTCTTCTAAAGATAGATGAAAGCAAATCTCTGTGACCTAGTTAGACCATGGGCAAGAGAAGGCATCTTAAAAAACATCTTGCAAACAGATTGTTTCCTTCTAATAGTGTAGAGTGTAGGATAATTATCTTTGAGATAAAAGTGTGAAGCTAAAGACTCAGTGAAAAAACACTAAGATGGAAAGTTTTGACAAAAGGATCAAACAATTTACAAAGAAGGAGGACCAACTGAAGGAAAAATTGAAGGATATCTAAACTTATGACTCAAAAACCACATTGGATAGAGGGGAAAAAGATAAAATAATTGCTTACAACTTGGACAAATATCTCATAATTATACCACAGTATTACTTTCAGTTGTTAGCATACTGATTAGAAACAGTGCACATATATATACACAATATCAGTTCAGGTAATCATGGAATATCCTGATTTGGAAGGGACCCACAAGGATTATCCAAGTCCAGCTCCTGGCCCTGCACCAGACACCCTCATGTATTACACCATGTACCTGAGACTGTTGTCCAAATGCTTCTTGAACTCTGTCAGGCTTGGTGCTGTGACTGCTTCCCTTGGAAGCCTCTTCCAGGGCCAAACCACCATCTGAATGAAACACCTTTTCTTGATACTCCAACCAAACTTCCCCTGACTCTCTGTCAGGCTGTTTCCTCAGTTCCTGTCACTGGTCACCAAAGTGAAGAGATTGGTACCTTCCCTGCCTCTTCCCCTCATGAGGAAGTTGTAGACTGCAATGAGGTCTTCCCTCAATCTTTTCTTCTCCAGGCTGAAGAGGACAAGTGGCCTTAGCTGCTCCTTATATGGTGTCCCCTCAAGGCCCTACACCATCTTCATCTATATCCTTCATAAAATGTGGTACCCAAAACCGCACACTATGTCTGTGTGCATGCACACATATATATGTAATATATGTATGTATGTTCCATTAGAGGGAAATTTTACTGGGTATTTATCCTAATGTTTACTTGTCACCCTAGCTCCCTGGTCAAAATAAGGAAAAGTTAGATCCTGAAAACTCTTTGGGTACAAAGGTTTGGCTTATTAAAAATGGAGAAGGGGAAGGGAATCTCCCAAATACTGAAAAATTCTCAACCTCTTTCCAAAAGAAAAAAAATTGTTTTTAAAAATCCTTTTTAATAAAGTAAACTCGCACAATTTGAACATAATACTTATAGACCAAAATCTTTCCTACAAAGTATATGCCTCAAACATCTTTCAACTTTGTGTCTCATTTTTCTCCAGCAATAAGGGTATAAAATTATTTAGAAAGCCTATAAAAATTGAGGACCCAGCTATGTTATTTACTGCTTCTGTTGGATTATTGAAATGCTGCCAAAAATACACAGAAATGACAGTGAGTTGTTTCTAATTGTTTCACTTGTTTCCTGGCTGCCAGTTCCTCCCTTCACATTTGTGCAAAGTTTTACTCTTTCTGGAGCACAGACCTGTAGAACTCCTTGAAATTACTAGAAATAAACATTTTCCTTGCACTACTAACCTTTGGCTGCTTTCACTGAGCCTGTGGGCTTATTCCACTGGCCACAGCTACAGGCATCACAGGACCGATCCTACAAGGGAAAGTGTTTATAGTCAGTGACCAGCACAATCAGGGACATGCTGTATAATCCAACACAAGAGGACTTAAAAGGAAAGGGGAAGTCTAATTATGGATCACCATACTTGATGGTTTTTCTTCCCCTGAAATTGCCATGATATATACATTAATTATTTCTTCTTTCATTCTGGTAGCAAAACCTTGCTAATTTGAATGGAGGTATGATTTTAACTACGCTCAGAACTTAATTCCACAAAGTCATGAGCAATGCAAAATATACTTAGGGAGCAGTCCCTTGTTCTTTAAATAATTCCAGCAGGGAACTTTAAGGTTTTAGTACATTCCACAGTACTATATTTCTACCTAGATCTGGAGTAGCAGAAGTCATTTTAATACTCAACAACAAACAAGGCAGGGAAGAAATTTGAAATTTTTTTTACATTATTTTAATATTTATTTTTATTTAAATATATTTATATTCAGATATCCCCTGGGGACCTTTTGTGTTTCCTATTTCAGGACTTTAAAACTTCTTTCTTTCTGCAGAACTCATTATTTAAAATGTAGTGCTATGTAGTATGATTCTAAATATTGGATGGTCATTGAAAATTCTAGCTTTTATCAGTAATATATAAGGTATTAGGTTTTGGATGGTATTAGGTTTTGGATGGTATTAGGTTTTTGAAAGCTTGGATGGAAACTCACTGAGAGAGATTTCCATGCTGTATTGGTCCATAAACATAAGACCTCGCACTAAACTGAGCACTCCCAAACCAAATCAATTTCTGTAGAAGAGACAAGCATCCTCAATTTTTTTTTTCTTTATGTAAATGGAAAGACAGTATTTTAAAGAATAGAACCACAAATTAACTCTTCCTGCCCTTTCAAAGCAAGAAATGTTACAGTGAGTTGAGACAGTTCTTGAGGAATTTCTGAAATACAATATCTATGCGGTAGCTAATAATCTTGTTAATTTCCATGGAAAAGGAAGAGTTTAATACAGAATATAAAATCACCATTTACTTTCCCATGTCCACTCATTTCTAAGACAAAGGATTAAAGAAAGTATATAAATGATGCTATTCATTCTACAAGGAGATATGTTACAGTCTCCAGTTAATACCCATTACAGGAGTCAACAGCAAATTTTCTTGAGAATTCAGTAGAATCAAGATTCTGGTTCCTGAATGGATGAAAGTGCTTTCTGTCTATAGAAATGTCCAGCCATAAAAAATGTGAGGTTATGGAGTTTCTCAAATTTAAACACTGGCTACAACTGTTCTGATTTTGCTCCTGGGCAACACAATCTTAAAGCCAGAAATAAAGCTAAGATGAATGAAAGGGATATGACAAAGTTAAATGGGTTACTTTATTAGGAGATTTGCACTTATGTTTTCTCCTTCAGAAGAAGATGAAGCAGACAAAAGTGAGGGAATCTGAAGGGGACCAAATTGGCTGAACAGCTTATCTTCTCTGGAAGAGAAATCCATATTTAATTGAACATGTAGGACTGAAGAGACCATGCCCTGTAAGAGTGCAATTCTGCTCTCCTTTTGAGGCCTGAAATATGGGTATCTACAAGCGAAGAATTAAAGCTAACAGATGTTTCTGTTGGATGTGGGAAGGATTACTGGCATATTTAACACTATTTTGTTTCTTGAGCTAAAGTTGAGCAGTTGGTGAGCTTCAGCTTTATTGAACAACCAGCTGGGTTTTTTCAATCACTGATTCTTGTCAACTGTTATTATGGAGATAATTATCATTATTTTAATGGGTTTAATGAGCTCTCAGTATCCTCTTCCAAATATGTTTTGGTTTTAAATGTATTCAGTCATACAGCTGTTGAACTAAGCAGCAAATTATTTACACAGTTTTCTCTCATTTGCTATTTATGCAAAACTTGCATCTGTCTCAGGATCTGACTGAGGGATTTTATTACACTGAATTAACTTCATTTCAGCAGTGAAGTGCTCCCTACTGAATCTAGACTGCTTTAACTTATTTGCCATAGTTTGGAAATGCCAAGAACACCTGAACTAAGGTGAAAATTTCCATTACTGGTAACCAAGAATTTTCAGGTAGTACACATCTGATGCCTCCTTACAATTTTCCTGGCTATTTTCCTTCAGTGAAGGCATGGATCCTTCTAGGCCAAAGGTAATAAAACATGTCCAAACCCACATCAGAATTTCCTTAAAATCAGTGTCAAACCAACCATGTTCTCCAGGCATAAATATCCACATTTCAAGCAGAATATTTTGAAAAATGGACCCCATTATCATATATGGAGTGTATGCTAATAAATTCATAATTCATAAATAATCTGATTGTATGAACTGTGTGCATATCATACATAAATTAAGTATATATTAAGACACCCATATCAGCCTTCAAGTTTCTATGCTACAATATTTGAAGCTAACTTAAAAGATTATTTATATTATAAATTAAAAGAGCACTTTTTCTGCCATAGTTTGGAGCTGTGAGAAGACAAAAATTTGGACTACCTTGTGAAATTTGGACTACCTTGTAAAAATAAGCATGGATTTACAGAAAGTATCAAAAATCAATGAGTGCAGATTTTGATGAGGAGACACAAATATAATGGAAGTTTTTAGAAAAACAAACCTGAGCTGGGAATAATAGTAATTGAGTTTAGTCAAATCCTTTTCCATACCACTTCTACAAACACTAGTTTTCTCAGTCTCACATGCATGTAGATTCAGTGTCAAATGAAGTCAATGATTTAACCATTAGCTTAATTGTCTGTGGAGATAAGGTTTCTTGTCCCATGCATTTTTCAAGAGATATGTCTGCTTTATTGGACAGTACAATCAAGATAAAGATACTGCCATAAATATTCCTCTTCCCTTTTTGGATTACCATCACTAATAGAACAGGAATTGGAAATAAGTAAACAATTGTTCATGAACATGATCTGGAATAACTGAAAATGAGAAGCGGACCAGATCAGGTTTTTTCTTCCTGCATCAGTGTGATAGTAATAAGAAGATCACTGTCTTTTCACTTCTCCCTGGGAAATTACCTTCATCTGCTGGTAGTAGGCTTCAGGATAAAACTTCTTCTTTCTATCAACATATGTGGGGTTTTTTCCTCAGTGAATACTTGGTAAAAGAAAAGTGATAACCTTTGTAATTCTCCTTAGGACATAATCAGACCTCACTAAGGCCTGTGGGAAAACTTCCAATGATATCTGAAAGTACTTTTCAGTTTGCCTTATTATTTGTTATGGGTTCTGTTGCCCAGTGAGATAGGAACCCATCTATTCCTCAACCAAATGAAAAAAAATATATTCAGAACATATGTCAGCAGGTGGCAACCTTTTCAGACAAGCTTAATGAAAATCAAAGAAAGTTAATTGATTAAAAATCTGGCTGCTTGATATGACACAGTAAACATACAACAAGTAATGAACTTTCAAGGATATCTTTTTCTTAAATTATTTCCCCTTCATTTGCTATTTTAGTATCATCCTAGCTTCATGTTTAAAGTTCAGTCATTTTAGATATTCCTTCTGGTCTAAGGGCTTCTTATCCAGCATTGCTGCATTAATATTGTCTGGAAGGTGTCACCAATACAAAGAAATGTGTCTTCTCACAGAAAACTGTGAAATAGAAATAGTCTCCCTGCGTTGTCTTTGCTTCTCCCAAATTTCAACTGTTTAAGTTGCATAATTTTTTGTATATTAGCTGAGAAATGCAGAAGTTTAACATACCCATTTGCCTGCACTGACTATAGTCTTTGAAATCATCTTGGATTTGTGTGTAACTTGTATTCATTTGTTTCATTGGTTGTATTCATTTTCAGAGAGCAAGGCACTATGAGCACTTTCACAGGAGTATAGTTACTTTGGTATTCATTATAATAGATAAAATGCCTTAAAATACTATCAAAATTATACACATTCACTTTTCCATAACTTACAGATAATTTTTATTTTGATAATTACTGAAAGTAATCTAAACTAGATTTTCAGATTTCCTCTGCCAAAAGTCTGTGGCAGTCCCACCATGCAGCCTGCCAAAGCTGGGGTACTGTTTGTGGCATCACATGTGTTTATAGGGTTTATGTCATAATTTACTTTTCCATATTTACACTAATCAAATTTAAACTAAAAATAAGTTGACAGATTCTGTAATGAGGTAGCTGCAGATATCTTTCTTTTTTCTCTCTTGTGTGAGAGCTTAAGTGTCAGTTTAGCAAAATGGTTTGCTGTCCCTCTTGTTGTTCTTATATGTGCTCTGTCCTTATTCTAAGGGACACCTTTGCTATCATTCTCTCTATTCCTCCCTCACCTAACAAGGGAGTGGTTGAGGGTAACAAAACAGTATGTTTGTGTTATCCACAGATTATCTACCCTAGGGGCTTACTGGCAATGCCTCTAGCAGTGCTTAGCCCTGTGGACCTCTCCAATCATTTCAGGTTATGAACAAAGTAATTTTTGAGTATTGTTTAGGACACTGGTTTTGTTCTTTGTTTTTCTTTATCTTATCCTCCTTTCTCCTTTTTTCTTTTTCTTCCTGTTTATGAGTTTTCTTAATTCTTCTCTTACATGTTCTTTGCTCTTCACTTCTGTATTCTATCTGTTGTTCACTCCCTCTCTACTTCTCTATTCTGTTTGCTAAAATGATCAGCAACACAGACACAACCTGCATAATGAAATGAACATTAAGTCAACAAACTCTGAAGAGTTAGCTGCTTACACAAAGTCACCACAAACCACAAGCTACACATGGTGGGAGCCTGCAAGGCACAGCAAATTGTACCGTCTAAAAGTGTGTAAAGGGGCCAAGATTTTATATCTTCAGCTGAGCAACTGCATCTGCCTGATTTGCTGGTACTAACATGGAATTCAAAGCTGCTTTGGAGTGCAAGGGAAAGGGAACAGCTGTTTGCTGGCAGACCTCTGGGTTCACAGTGTAGCTCTGCCCCATTCCTACCCACAGCAGGGTGGGCTCTGGTCTAACCTCTTGCCTTCTGCTGTTCCTCCCC